CAAAACAATATCTTGCCTGGGAGCTGAAGCAAAAAAAGCAAGCATTTAATTCAAAACATTACACGCATTAGTCTATCGGCAGCTCTCTCCTAATCACAAGATGTGTTTTGATGTTTATTAATTTGACTACAGGGTCACCTGTAGAGAATCACAAGTACAAATATACTGAACTACATCAGGCACAAGAACACACACACACACAAAAAAAAAAAAAAAAAAAAAAAGGCCAGAGAACCTAGCATAACATCTATGCTGGCTTTACAGTGGTTACAGTACCTACTTAAAGCAGGTTGAAAGAATTTTTTTTTTCCCAGAAAATTTCAAGCATGTTTGAGACAGCAAGGTGATACAAAGCCAAATAAGTGCTGCACATTACAAAGTTATGGCACTTTCACTCATCTACTGCACATCTCAAAATAGATTTCAAAGAATTTCATAACCCCAGAATCAAAAATTTACCAAAGAAAAGTTCATGGAAGTGAAAAGTGAAAGACCTCAATTTAGCAGGCTAATAGCAGACAGTTTCTTGACAATACAGTCTATTCATCTCACATAATGGAAATTCAACTACTGAAAAGCCTTCTTTTTTTTTTTCCAGTTACTTACAACACTTGAAGGAGTTTGTTTGTTTTTCTTTATTTATTACAGGTAAAGATGCCTTATTTAGTGCTAACCAGTGCCAGAGATAGGAGAGGTAATAAGTAGCTAAATAAAACAATCATCTAGAATACTTATCTGCAGATGAAGTGAAACACAAGAAATATTAAGATTTACCTCTGTCTCTGTTGTTGCCTCTAGCAGGTTGATGTCTTCAGCCTCACTCTCTGGACCTTTTTGAGCATTTGGTGGAAAGTCACAGTCCTGGGCCACTAGTGCGTGCTCTTCTTTCGGAACGTCATGCGTGTGGACAGACGAGCCCTTCCTCTTCGCCGTCTTTTTCTGCGACTGCGTGATGCCACTTTTTGTTTTTCGCTGTCTGAAGTAAGCAAGCTGTGCAGAAAAGATTGGAAGAGGTAGAGGGAGAGGTAAGTGAGGAAAAGGTAGCAGGACCACAAGATTAACACACTCATGGGTGGCAAAGAATATCCTGCCTTGATGAAATATGTACATCTGCAGAAAAACTGCTTTATCTTCCTACTTTCTACACTTCCAATATCTAACTGGATAACTGTACAATTAATCCAGAAATCCCTCACCAGTATTAAAAACTCATTTCAACACAAGAATCAAATTTTACTCAGTGAGGTTTCATGTGTCAATAACAATTCAGAATTGCAGCAAAAGAGATTAGTAAAGGAATGAGTTGTTCATATACTAGAATCATGAAAAAGAAGGGAAAAGAAAAGGAAAAAGATAAATAAAGAGCAGCATCACAGTCTTTCTGCAAGACTGGCAAAAACAGCAACCCTCAGAAGTGTATCTAAATAGATCTTTGCCAGAATAAGCGTTAGGATTAAAATTAACGGAAGTGAGTCCTCACACTCCTTCCCTGTCATCCCCTTAAGAGAATACAGCAAAACTTCCTAGCCAGAGAGCAGATTGTAGTACATAAATAGAAAATTAATTAAGCCAGGTCATTTTAATTTCTTCTGTTGAAGAATCAGATGCTCTACTTTATCAGAGTTTCACAGTTCTATAAAGCACCTGGGACTTGCAAAGAATGTCACTGACAGCATTTATTACACAACTTTCCTTAGCACCTTAAACAGCTTAAAGAAGATAATCTTATTTTCAACTCAACTATTGCATTTAAGCAGCATTTCCAACTAATGTCTCGCAACATAATTCCAAGACATCCGTCTAATAGGGCAAAAACCTTCTCCAAGGTTGCAAGCACAGGTTATCAACTATCCCTTTAAAATATCCTTCCAGTGAGATAAAACAGATAGCCAAAATGACAACAGGACATAAGCATCCATAGCTGCAAAGTACCTCCAATACACACATGAAACAATTGCTTCATAGTTTGGTTTTCCCGCAATACATCTACAATACAGAAAGAAGTCTCATTCATTTCTTTTCATTCAACTCGTGAAATAGATTCAGTTGGGTCCTTCCTTATTACCTATATACCAATTTGGTAATAGAAAAAGAAATCTCAGCTCAAAGGTATACAGTTATATGTCTCATACACTGAGCAGCCTGTTTACATTTTTTTCTTCTTCTTCTGGCAGACAGCAGATTCCTACATCAGCTGTTAGGCCATTTATCTACAAAGAATATATTCTTTTAAGTTCTGTGGTTCCTGCAGTTACTAATCTTGAATGCAAATTATACAAAGATTGCCAGGTACCATGTCTTTCAGCATAAGCAAAATGAACAGAGCAGTAAATAAAGTTGTAATGAGATACAAATGCTATTCTCTAAAATCAGGTGTCAACCCTAGTAGTTATGGATGGCATTGTTTGTCAAAAATAGCTATTGCACTAATTAACTAGATGACATGGGAAAAGAGCACAGGATGAGGCCTAAAGAATAACAGCAAGTAGAGGAAGATGCTTGAGCAAGACAAAACAAGAACAGGTGCAAAAAAAAGATCAGTAAATGTGAGAAACGAAAGGCAGAAAGAGTGGACACCCAACAGGGCAGTAAATGATTTTGTGAAGTGAGAGCACATAAGATATTTCACATTAAAATACCAAAACTCTTCATGACTGAACAATTTATAAGTGCATGACCCAAAAAAAGGTCCTATTTTACTTTGTTAGTTTATATGTATTAATTATATGTGCGTATGTAGATATATAAAGAGATATATAAAAATATATATACATATCATGCAAACACTACCAACTAATCTAAAAATCTAAGGAACTACCTAGAGAAGGGAATTTGCTGGTCCATAAAAGATGTCTGTATTCAAATATGCCCCAGCTTTATGGGATGACTGGGTGGTGAAACTGTGGTCTGGGTCAGTAGCAAGTTTCTAAAGCTTTTGATCAACTATATGAATTTAAGTATCATGCAAAAGTATTACCAGCTATATAGACCATCACCCAACAAGCAGCAGCACATAGGGGCATCCAGGAATCACGCTAATCCGTCACCATCGGAGAGGTTCCCTCATCCCCACCAGTAACACACAAGGGTGCTGGGAACACAAAGCATCCCGGGCCCCTAAGGATGCACCCAATTCTCGGTTTGTTTTCTCACAGCACGTGGCAAAGCAAAAGCTTCACTTCAACCTTGAAATGAGGGGAAGCCATGGCATTCCCCCGCCCCACCTGACATACTTCTGTCACAAACGCCCAGGGACACATGTCAGCACTCAGGAAGGCTGCAGCAAACTCTGCGCAGTTCAGCTCTCCTCAGCTTACCTCAAACATCATCTGCTTCTTCACTTAACACACTACATGCTGCAGAAATCACTACCAAAACAGCTCCACAGAAAATGCAACAGAGTAGAACATCATATCAGCATGCAAAAAGAAACAATCATTCAAGTGAATTTTAGCCTCTCTCAGGTATAGTGAAGACGAGCAAGAGGCACTCTCAAAACCAGGAACCAATTGCTAGAGTTTTTCAAACTGATCACAAGAAGGAACCTTTGCTGGGAGAATGCACACTCCTTTCTCAAGTTCCCATCACGCTAAATGAAGAAATAGCAAAATCTTCTGACACATGAGGAACAACACACAGCTGGTTAACATGCTTTCTAATTAAAAATAGGAGATGCATTTACCATCAACTACAAAAAAATGATTATCTCGTCAAAGCATAAATCTATTATTAACAAAATGGCTATTAGTACTGCACTTATCAAAGACAATAATCTGAAGGAACTGACAATGCTAGGAACTTAGCTGCCAAATAGTCACAGTTTAGTTACTAGTTACCACTGTAGGCAGTTACTACTGCTAAATAGTCACTAGTTAATACACTAATTGGAATGATGGCTATTATTCAGTGATAGCTTCAAATACACTTTAATTTTATTACACAGTTTTTATTCCTGTATAAAAAAGAATACAAGCATTGTTTTAAAGAGGAAAACACTCACAATATAGTCATTTCCCTGGCCATTGTTCAGCAGACTAAAAACCTTAGGATGACATAAAAATAAATAAAAACAAAAATAAAATGAACACACAATTCACATCTCTGGATTCACTCAGTAGGAGAACACAGGGACCTCAGAGGACAACCTACACCAGACAGCTACAACCTGACCCATGCAGCCAGCCAGGCACTCCTGCCCCTTGTTGTCACGAGTACTCTTAAAAGATGCAGTGGCGTGAAACAGGGAGCGAGCTGCAAACTGAACATTTTTGTGTCACTCCAGAGATGGACCATGTGTTGCTGCAGGCCTGCATCACAGGAAAACAATCCTGTACCACTAAACACAGCTCACATTGCTTTCTCCTTTTCAAAAAAATCATATTTACAATCCTGCAGCTCACCTACCCAGCATAACTATGTCCTACCATGGACTTGAGAATATGAGAACTACACTGGAGAACACCAAAGGCCTATGTACTCCTGCAGTTAGCCCAACATCCAGCTATTCCAGAGGTCAGCTCTTCAACAGCAGGGATCTAATTAAGGGTATGAAAGTGAGACAAGCACCTAGTTGTGTGTATTAGCGATTGAGTGAACGTAGTGAGGAGTCTGCTGCTCACACATTTGACTTCCAAAGCTAAATGTAATATCTGTGTGCTTAGTAAACTGCAAGAGATTTTTCTTCCATTAATTGGTCTAGCTCTTTTGTAAAAATCTTGGCCCCACAATCTGTTGGCGAAAAAAATGGATCTTTGTGACATTTTTATAACTACAGGAAGTACTACCTCTCCCTGTGCTTTCCTTAACATTTTCCTCATTGTTCTGTATATCTCGTATATGATACTACCTCACAGCAACAGAGTAATGTGGAAGCTAATGATTTTTTTGTAGAGTATGATATACTTAGCACAATGTTTAATAAAAAATCCTGGACGCAACACTGACACTGTGTGCATAACTTGAAATGTAACACAAGCTTGTACTTTTTTTTTTTTCCAGTTTTCCAACAACTGTACAACAGGTGTGAACTAATAACCTGTTCATGGCAAGTATATCCCAATTTTCTAAAGAACTATAATCAGACACTACGCTCAGTTTTAGAAACAAAATGTTCATAGAAGTCCTGCCACAGCTAATCTAACTTCTCAGCCTGAAAATGTCCTGCTCTCAAAGTTCTCTCTCAATCAACATCCAAAAAGTAACTCCGTTCTCTCCCAGGAGACAGTGTCCATGCCGCAGGTGTCTGGGCAGAGAGGGCAAGGAACTGCTAAGGGAGGGAACAGCTGGTAACGTGACACCTGGGACAGCACCTGGGTGGAACAGGCCAGCATGGATGAGCAGTGCTGACCACCATCAAGCTGCTCTGTGCAGCTCCAGCCTTGAGCAGCAGCTACTCCCTGCCAACAACGTCCCTGCTCTCCACACTGGACTTCCACACAGAAAATGGCTGAAAACACATCTATGGGAGAACAACTGCACCCAAGGAAAAGAGGGGCTGATGCGGATCAGAAGACCACCCCCTCCTAGCTACATCCTCTGTTTCAGAGCCACTGGGGTGCGCAGAAGGGGGAATGCTGCAGCTGGAGCCCCGGGAGCTTCTGCCTCCTTCAGTGGACAACACTCGCACTGCCACACGGGGATAGATTTCTAGAGGTGAAACAGGGTGGCAGCAGCCCACAACGCAACAGAAACGGTGAATGAAAACAAAAATCCTGTCATTTCCGATCAACTTCTTGAAGAGCATCATGTCCCAAACAAAGCAGAAGCTTCCACGAGAACTAATACCGATTAGGCGCTACCCCTCTAGCAACCAGCAACTACCAGCAGGACATGATCTCCGGGCAGCAGTGAGGCCACCAGTGCTCACTGTAGGGTCCCTCCAAGCTACCCCTAAATGAAGACACGGGCCTGTGAGAGGTGCAGGAACAAGCCAAACAGACACGGCTGCCCGCTACCAAACCATGGGCACAAGGGCAAGTGGACTAGTCATCAAGGTAGTAAAACATGCAGTTTCTGTCTTTGCAGTGGAGGATTTTCACCTGGAAATACATTTTTTCTCCAGAAGAGTAACTGCAAGGAAATCTTGTTAAAAACAGAAACTTCACAGGAAAACAAAAACACCAACTTGTGGGGAGATCCCCGCACTACCTCACACTGCTCCTTGCTCCCAGAGGAGAGTGATTCTACCTCCTTCTCAAGGGGCAGAGGAACACGGCAGGGCGGCAGCACCGGGAGCAGGGCCGGGCGCCCGCAGCGCGGACAGAAATAACAGCCGACCCGGGGTTTCCTCCC